CGGCGGGCCGGGCCTGCCGCCGGGGAGGACGGCGTCGGGCAGCGCCACCGCGCGGGGGCGCTGCCAGGGCGTCCCTCCCCGCGCATCAGAATTCTTGTGTAAATTAGCGTCTTGGAATCCCGTCGGGTCCGGTTGACCTCAAGGTGAGGGTTTTTATGCTTCAACACACGCTGGAAGACCCGACCAACAGCTCCTGGGTTTATTTTGATTGTCATTGATGCCAGGAAAGGTGAGATCCAGTCTGGGAGTGCTTTAAAAAACTACTGTCCTGTGGACAGCGGTAAGGATACCATTTCGTGAATATTCTACAGTGGTACGATAAATCTCTGATAAAAGTGAATACAGAAATTCTGTCTTCGCGTAGTAGTTTGCACAAGTACATGCTGAGTATTTTTTTAATTTTCACAGTAAATCATCTTTGGTCTACACGAACAAATTTCTTGGACCACATATAAAAAGCTGACAAAAATTATTAAGATGAAGGTAAAGTGTACATTTAGGATCACAGTTCCATCTGAGAAGAAGCTAGCTTGAAAGACGGATCAGGTTTGTTAGGAACCTTCCACGTACGCAGAGTGACACGAAGCTGCTCTTGGGGAATATGGCAGCGCTTAGGGTTGTCAGGAAATGGAGGAAGGGCGGTAAATAGGTGCTGGTAACTAGAGGTGACCCCTCCCTTCGTAACAGCCAGCTTGTGGTCGGGTTTTGAACAATGCTTGGTATTGGTCGTTTTGAGAAGGTCATCAAAACTAAAATTTAGACATTTGTAAGACAGTTCTTACAGAAATCATAGCTGAAATAAAGTGCAAGTTGTAATTCTACTAAAGGGAAACAATGACCTTCGTTTCACTGTGGGCCACATGTGACTAACTTGGTTAATACGTACACTGCTACTCACTTTAAAATATATGCATTTTCTTCTACTGCAATATATAGTCAATTTGCAACCCAAATTACTCATTAGAAAGTCTGTTTTCTAAAAGTACATTTCAAAAGTCCAGTTAAGCAATAAGATAAAAATTTATATAAAAATACAACCTTCGTCTTAATAAATACATGATCTTAAATTATTTATTATAGCTTTATATTTAAAAACAAAAGATTGCATTCTCAATAATTAAAGAGATTGGATTACCCTAGATACTTGAATTCCACTTTTGACATTTTTATTTGCTTTGTTAACATTTTACAGAGTCTAAAAAGTGTACCCTTCATTTCACCTTTTGTACCTAATAAGATGTCAGCTGCGCAGTCTTGTAGTTCTTTACATTTAATGATCTGAAATGTAAATGAAGAGAAACTTATTAGATTTTTGTAGAATATCACTGTACAAATTACAGGAGTTTTGTAAAAATTAAAAACTGTGATATACCCAGTCCTGTAGTTAGATTTAATGACTTGAATCCTCATGAATTCAGATTTATTTCAATAGAGCTCTGCATGAGAGCAAGAATCTACACTAGCAAATCCAATTACAGGATTATGGTCCAAGTATCAGAAGATAAGCTTTCCATTGGAAAGTACATAAAGAACTGTAATTCAGTGGAGGAAGCAGATGATTTGAAAAATGTCTTACCACATTTCTTAAAATCTATGAGCTATGAGCTTCATGCTTATAATAAATTCAGTTCACAATTCTCATTCTATTAAACCTAGGAATAATGATGCAAATATAAATAAATACCTTCTTTAAAATTCTTAGGAGGGAAATAGCAGTGGAGAATTTGAAATACTAGTTTTAATTTCTCTCTGTGGAATTTCTGTTGGGTATGTGAAAATTTTCTCTTTACAAATATTTTTACTGAGTCCATCATAACTATTTCTGTGAGCACATAGTGATACTTCACCATCAGTCCCCCCCTTTCAATTTTGAAACCTACTTCACATACAGTTAGGGTTTCTTCCCAATAAAAACATTTCATTTGGGAACATGAATTTTTATTTGGTTGATAAAACAATAATACAAACAATTACACTAAGAAAGCTACTTAGACCAATACAGCATTCTTTTCCGTTTTACTAGTTTAAAAACACTAGTGCATACATGGAAGGTTGTACTTTCTTATGTCAGTTTTGGTAGTTACCACCAACCAAAAAGTTACTTTCAATTCTTTCTTATTTTCCATTAGTAATGAAAAGCAATGTGGAGCAATACGTAGCTTCTGGTTCTGCCTTGTCAGTGTAAATAAAAACTTCAAAATATCCCTGCAACTTAAAAAGTGATTATGCAAATGCCAATACATGGTGAAATAAAGTAAACAGAACAGCAATGGGGGAATAAGGGAGGTGTATTTCTTAGACTTCACATATGATATGTAAAAGACAAATCACAAATGTAAAGCAGATTCCTCTAAGAGAGTTTTTCAAATTTTAATGAAGTATTTCTAAACTGTTTCATGTTACTCAAGGAGTATGCAATATGCTTAACTGTTCTACATGCAATCTTAGAAGTCTGCATTTGAAAGCGGTTTCTCTAAATAACTCGAAAGAACACAATCTTGATTTTTTGCTTGAATTACAACAGAGCCAAAACCAGAAAAAAAGTTTGTTTAAATAGAAGGTTTATAGCTTAGTAAGATAAAAAAAATAAAGGATTATGTGCTTGTCTACCTATAGACATACACTGTGTACTATAAATTTCTTCTAACATTGCACAGTGACATGTTTGTAGTTAGGAATCCAATTTGAGTGCCATTGTTTCAAAAGCTTCACAGGCTTAGATTACCTAATGTTATGTTTTCCAGCAGAGGGAGCCAATTTTATTCCATAAACATAAGGGAAAACAAAAACATTTAAACAGGAACATTCCTAGTCTTTTTACATTTATCAAGTCAGAAAAGAATAAAAATTAATAATTTTTCAGTGACATCTGTATAGCATGATTCTGAAGGTCTCTCAAAAGCCTTATAAAGTAACCTGAATTTACAGAAGAGAGTTGGAATAAATTTTGAAAGCCAAGTTCCTTATACATTTCTTACCCTTTTGTTAATAATGCATTCCTTCATTTATTCAGTTATTTTAGACAGCAATAAACAGCTGTGCTAATGACTTTTGGTAGACAGCATACATGAAACATGAACTCAAAGGAGCTTACCTTGTGACATTTAAAGTTATTATGCTTCTAACAGGTCTGCTTTTTGGTCCAGCGGGAGGATGAAAAATCTGTCGTTCTTTATTAGTTGTGATAGCCTTAGATTTTTTAATTACATAAGGGTCAGCGGAATGGCTTGGGTAAGGATCAAATGTGCCTCCTTTCATGCCCCCTGACTGAAAAAAAAAACTTTTTGAAGTGCCAAACTACAATATAATTGAGTAAATTAAAGTATTTTTCATGCAAAAGCAAGTAAGAATACTGAATAGCAAACTGCATCATATTATATAAAAAACCAAAAAAACAAAACAAATATTCCTTAAATTTGCAATGGAAACTTTAAGGAAAATCTTAGTCATTATTTTGATGAATTCTCAGTTTCAAATGTTCTTTCATAAGTCTGGATTTTGAGGAAAGGAGCTTGAAAATGTGACAGAAAAAGTAAAAACATAACTCACTAAAATGAGCAATGTTGTGGCAAAAAAAGGGAATTCCTTTGTCACTAGTAGTTTACTAGTACACCTCCATGTCCAGTACTGGTGTAGGGATTCTTACATACAGCAGGGCTTGGGCATTATTATCAATGTGCTTTCTGACATACAGGATTGAATACAGCAGTGGCTTTTCCTGAAATGTTACATCCACTAGTAGTACTACATGAGTGGCAAATTTTAGTTAAAAAATATGCAGAGACCTGATTAATTCTTTGCAATCCCCTAGTACAGCTGAACCCCACAGACTGCTGAGGCTGCATTCCTGAAAAGTGTGGCAATAAGCAATTCAATCAACAATAAAGCAATTTTTCCCCTAAGAATTTATATAGCAGAGGGAAAGTGTGCAGTAGCTTGGGAAGTACACATAATTTAAATATAAGGGGAAAGCATATATGGTATGAAAGATGGGGAGCCTGAAGCAGGATCATGAGCATTGTCAGCCAGCCAAGGTGCTGACTTTCTAGCAGCTAACTTTTCTGAACAGATTTCCATTCTGAAAGATCTCAGCTGCCTCATCGATGAGGCCAAACACCCAACGCAATTATTCGTGTGTAAGCATTTTTGCAGTCTCTTTCTGAATAGTTAAATTTTCCTTGCTATCATCATCTTCCTCAGGTGAATCAATGTCAGTCAAATAAGGGTGAAGGACATAATAATAGGAAAACAGTGGTTAGCAGAGCACAGTGTTAAATGACTGACAATGGAACTCCAAAATGAAGAGCTGAAAAGTGACAGATTAAGGGGTGTTACTGTATTAGGTATCTGGAGTCATTTAAGAGAGAGGTATTTATGCATCTTAAACCCATTTCAAAGTGAAATTAAGGTTTAGCCTAAGGTGAATGGCATAAATTTAATATCTCATCTCAAAAAAAATCTATCAAAATGGAATGTTTTATGGAATGGAAAAATACCATTCAGATTTTAAGAAATAATGACACTAAGCAACTGGAACTAATGAACTATGTTCCTATATACCCTTCATAATAACCCCAGGCTTTATTTCTTATGCCCTCTAAGCCCTGCCACATATATTTATTCCCATCCTTTTCCTCCTTTTCTCCTAAATACTAAAGAGTTGGCAAATTCTAAAGTGGACTGCAAATTTGTGTCTGCTGATGGACGAGCAACAGATAATTCCTGAGTTTATTCTTTCCCTGAGCAGAGGGACTAACCTGACATTTTCTGCTCCTTCCAGCTATCCATTCCCATCACACTTCTCAGAATTATCTTTTAGATGTTTGTCTTTATAGGGTGAGAGTAATTAGCAGGTTCAAAAATGATAGACGTGGCTGACAGAGTCCAAAATAGGAGAGCATTTCATTTTGCAACAGTAATCTAGTCTTACTGTCATTTATTGTATAACCTTCTGCTTTTTATCTTTTTGTGGTGTGTGCAGTCAATTAACTGTATGTTAACAGCACTATGCAGATTTTAAAGAGAAACACTTTTTAGGTTACTTGAAATTAGTTAGCAGTTGTTGTTGGGTCAAACAAGATTTCATTGCTTTGTAAACTGAAAACAAAGTAAATGGAATAATACCTTTTGTAAGAAAAATAAGAAATTAATAGCAAAACCTAACATTTATTTTTATCTTATGTACTATAAGCAAAGCTTTTAACAGGAAATATCTGAATATTTATCTTTTGTCTCCAGTAGCTATAAGACAAACTAACCTTTTTAGCAGGAGAACTTGGTTTGAAAGGTGGTGCAATTGGCTTCTCTGGAGGTGGTTTCTTCACAGGTGGCAAAGGTTTGTCATTAAAATAGGGATTCGTGTCAAAATAGTCCTGGGGATATAGATTTAACTTGAAAGGCCCTCCTTTAGCCAATCGTTTATGCTCCTCTTGCGCTTTCTGTAAAACAAATACTTTGAAAGAAACAGTCTTGAGGATTTTTACTGTATATTATTCTAAGAGAAAAATGGAAAGCATTTAAATTTAGTCTTGGAGAATGTTCACTCTAACTTTCTTTGCTCTTTGATGATCAAGGTATTTCATATACCCACCATGTATAATGGAACATAGATTCGCTAACCAGGAAGCGCAACAATCACTGTGAAAGTATGGTAGGAAAAGCACTGTGCATTTAAGATGTGTCTAACGGTATTGTATACCTGTATCTTGGGCATACATGCACACATACATGCTTGAAAATTCTGCCTGCATGCAGTCCAGCCACTCACCCTTGTGAACCCTGGCCACTACATTTCCCAGATTCTGAGCACCTTACTAAGCTGAACTTCTCTAGGAATTGGTTCTTTGTACCATGGGAGATGTTGACTATTCTTCCCAGATTCCATTTTAAAATAAAATAGGTTAAAACATTACGAACAATTAAAAGACAAGCATAAAACGTACCATCAGTAATACACTATCACCTGGTAATGCATGCTAATGTCTCAGAGCAAATTCCCTTTCTTCTATCCAGTGGAAACAATCCCACTTCCCTCTTTTCTCTGTTCTTCTCATTTTCTGCACTGGATATTTAATTTTGACACTGATTTTGTCTCAACTGCAGGTAACTGAATTGTTTCTTCTAATCTTGTTCTTACCCTAGACCAAAAAATGTCCTCCTGCTGCCATTTTTCAGTACATATGATGAAAATATATGATAACTAAAATCAGTGCAAGCACATTTACAAGTTTTCTTAGATTTATGAATTTATATGAAAAAAGGAAGAGGGTTTTTTTATGTAGTATCTAGGATAATGAGGTCCCATTCTTCTGACAACAACATAGAAGTATTATTGTTCTTGCTATTGGCATTGTTTGGTCATTATTGTATTATAGCTTAAGGTCTCCAAATATAAACTTAAGGTCAAATCCTGAATGGTAGAACTTGTGTGGGATACTGCCAGATGTCTCAAAGAAAAAATAATAAATGAAAAATACCTAAATATTTTTTAATACAGGATGGTCATTAATTTGTTTTCCTTCCTCCACTTTGTAAGTAAACATTAATGATTTCAAGCTAAAGGAAACACCACAGGGAACAAAAAGTTCATGTAAATTTTAATAAATAATCATAACACTAATACATAATAAAGACAAATATTTTTACCTTTGCATTTATTCTTTCTACTTCATACCCATCAGGTTCATGTGGATATTGTTCACCTATGGTAAGATTTGCATAACTGTAAAAACAAAATTAATTACTTAGGTGTTCAAAACTCAAGAAACATTTAATAAAATACTCTGCAAGAAGCAATATTGTGAAGTTACCCGTATCCAGTTCCTTTCTTTCCTGGATTAGTATAAAAATTCTTTCCAGGAGGAATGTATCTTTCTTTGGCTTTCAGTTGTGGACTGAAGTATGCATACGAACCTCCTATGGTTCCATAATAGCTGCCAAGTCCACATCTAAAAATAGCAAATGAACATATTAATTAATGTTTTGCAAATATTTCAGGCTTCCCATATCTAGTGTGCTAAAACGACAGTAAGTAGAAAACCCAAGCAATATATACATCTCAAGAGTTAAATATAAAACCAGATCAGATCCACTGTCCATGGAATCTACTACTACAGCAATTCTGTGCACAGTGTTATGGACAAAAAAGAAACAAGATGGTGCAGAGATGAAGTTTTAAAGTATCTTAATAACATAAATATGCTTAATAGAGATCATTTTAATTATGCGCCAACAAGGTGAAGTAACACTGGTAGAGACGGATTCACAAATGGAGACCCAGAGGAGTAGGTTAAACAGACCTGATGCTTGATGACAAGAGGACAGTCTTTCCCACAAGTTTACAGAGAACAGTAAGTTAGTGCTGGTATGATAATGGAGTGGCAGGCAGCATCTGCCCAGACAGGGTACCTGTCTGAAAGGGTTTTTTAATGGGAGATGTCAGGACTAGTTAACTTTCTGTCTTGTCACAGAAGGAAAGTAGAAGGAGGCATAGCTCATTTAGGAGAAATACTTCTGCCTACAAAGCTGCAGGAATTCACAAAGACTGTTTTTTAAAGACCAGCTTGAAAATCAGTATTTGCTGACAAGTGTAGGACATGCTTTCAAAGTACATGATCATAAAGCCACTAAAGGAAAAAAGGACCAAGACAAACTAATGAAATAGCTGAGTGGCAATTTGGTCCACTAAGCTGCAGCTACAGGGGTCCAAAACAACCCCAAACAACCAACCCTCTGTTCCCACACCCCAAAACCCCAAAACAGAACAGAAAAAAATAAACAGGAGCTACTATATGAGATCTGTCAACTACTCCAGATAGCTGAGGTAATCTGCTTTGCCTGTACTGTCTGCACTTATTGTGGGGAGAGAGTAAAGTGTCTCAAAGTGTCTCTCCTACTTAAAAGGGCCATTAATGAATAGTGACAGGATTAGGATGCCCAGATAACATTTTTCATCTTTGCACAAAACTCTAACCTACCTGTTTATTACCCTCCCCTTATTTAGGGACTTCATAAACTCATATATAGAAAAAAATGGGCAAACTGACAGTGCACAGACAACATTTATCTTGGTGTTTCCTAGCTCTTAAGTGCTTCATTTCATATTCTTCACATGTCACGTCTGTGTGTAGGCTTTTTATATGCCAGTAACAAAGTAACAGAGAACACACATATGAAAAAAAGAAAGGCCCAGGCTTCAGTCATATCTTCAGAATATGACATCTTTGCAACCTTTCCATTTGCAGCTAACAACAAATGTGGCTCCAATGTAAAGATTCCCAAGAGCTGCTTATCATTCAGACAGCCAAGAACAACAATTCAGAGAACAGCAACAGAGCTCTGTGCTAGTTCCGCAGTTACAATGGGAGTCAGTTTTGGATATAAGAAATGTATAATTGCTCTCCATAATTGCTTCAGGATTCCATTAAAAGATAACCTAACCACATTCCCAGCCTCTGCTTTGTGCTACTCTGCCAGTACAGATTTAGGGGAGGATAAAGACAATAAAGAACCTGCCCTAAAGTTCATGTCTAGATGAATTCAGAAGTCTTACAACAAGAATAAGAGCACGAGCTGCTGCACCAACAGCCAAGAAGTGCATTTGTGGAGGCAGTATGTGGAAGAGAGCACATCAGTAGGTCTTCATTGTAAGCAAGACTCCCACTGTTGGTTTCAGAACCCAGGAAGTAAGTGAACAGGACTCTCATTGACTGTCATGTGCCTAGGTGTTTCTAACAGTTAAACCCTTATAAATCATTTGGTTGCTATGAAGTCAAGTTGTAGCTGAAAGAAAGTTTTGAACACAGGACTCGCACATTGTCTGTCCCATCAAAAATAGCACACATATATCCAACAGAAAGCCTACACACAATGTCTTACATTCCTATTAAAAGCTAAGGTGTTCCTTTAACATACAACAGAACATACAACATACTAATCCTTGCATCCTAAAATATAAATATATATATATAAAATAAACAAAAGGTTACTCTCCAAACAAAAGCAAAGCTGCAGAAAGATATGACTAAATGTAACCACAAGACTGTAAGAACCAAGCCCTGTACATAGACTGAATCCTCCTGTCCAAGAACAAAACAAGATTGTATAGTTATAAATGAGTAACCAGGCTCTACTGTTTTTCACATGTGAATAATAATAGTTATATGACACCAATTTCATTGGTGTCATTTTGTCATGCAATTAATGTTGTGCAAATAGCAAAGATGTATTTATTTTAATATTCTACATATATTCCTCAGCTCTGTAACATGTTCTGATCATCCTATAGGATAATTGGTATTTTTTTTTAGCAAAAAGATAATGGATATGGATTTGCTGAGAGAAGAACGTTACACCTGGATAATGGCCCCTTTTCCTACTGTTTATGCAATATATGTGCCATCTCTGTTTTGGGAGGCTCAGAAATGGGAAAGAGAAGATACTGCATCCAACAAGTTCCAACAGATTTCCTCCTAAATTAAAATGAAATAGTCATTTGTTAATTATCCATATCCTTTTCCCATAGCCATCTTCATTTTCATCGAAAGTAAAAAGCTAAAGGTAATGTTTATAGCAAAAAACACTAGTTAAGAGCAAGCATCAGGACTTGATTTCTACCTGTGTTCAGCCTTCCCTGTGTTGCTGCTCAAAATTCTTCGCTCAGTACTGACTAACACCACATTGTATAAAACAACAGTATTGTACTCTTATTGCAGGTTTTAAAAGAAATAATCTGTGAAAATCATCTTTAGCATACAGAAAAAAAAAAAAGGTCAATTTAAAACATTTTCACAACACTTACGGCAATTTGTCTCCATTACTGGGAAGGAAAGCTTTGCCCAAATTTTTCTTTGATTCTGACAATCTATAGCGTCTCCTTAGCTGAACAGGGTTTGAGTAGGCTTCACCATCGAAAATCCTCACAAACTGAGGCTCAAAATAACCTGCCTGCAGAGCTGACAATGTTTTGGTTCCCCCAGGAAACATCTGTCTGTTCTTGCTCGCAGCTTCGTTAAAAGGGCCTTTAAAAAAGTAAGCACTGTAAATAGCTGTTCGATGTTAGTGCTTCTCTTAGCCTACATTAAAAAAATAAGGTCCGGATCTGGGTGGCTCAAAGAATGTACTGCAGAGCATTTAACTTGTAAAACATGCATGTAAATGGTTGTCTGAAAGACAATGCTATGAGAAGGTATTCACAGCATCTCATTTTAGTTTTCTAACCCCGGCACTTGCTTTACAGGCAATGGAGAGAGATTGGTTACTCCAGGCTACAATTCAGAGCTATTTACATACTACTACTACTACATACTACTATTACTCTGAGTAATACTTCAGAGGAGCATCTCTCTCTCTCTCCCACTGATTACAGACTGGGTCAAATAGCTTAAGTGCCTCCATTGGGTTTTGAATCCCCAGCAGCTCAGTGTGGTGGAAGTATATCAGCCAGGGTTCTGGTGGACACGTTCATCACTGACACAACAACACAGCAGAAGTGTCTGTATTGAGAAGCCAGGATTATTTTGCATTATCACTTCAAACCAGCTACTGAGAGTTAACCTCTGTAACCTTACTAATTACAAAAATTACCTTTCTCAATGAGTATTCTCATTAAACAACAACAAAAAAAGGAAAAGACAGGATGGGGAATCTCACACACGTGAGTCAGATCAGAACAAAAAAACCTGCATCTCTAGTTTAAAAATAATGACAATCTAAGTGTCAATGACAGAAAACCTGCTGAAAGAGCATAGAAAAAACACTATTGTTTTTCACAAAAGCATAAAAATAGTGGTAACTTGCAGATAATTAATATTAAAAAGAAATGTATACACTAAAAGATTTTATCAGTCTTATTATGCATAGATATTTTTCAGTTTTACTGGACTTCTCCTTTCTTCGATATATTCATTCCAATCTATCAAGCCTTTCTCTTAATAATACAGACCTGAGCAAAGAATATGCATGAAAAAACAGTTCCTTCTAATAAAAAAAAAAATACATTAGAAAATAGTGATTCTGAAAGTAAATGGATACTAGAGCTGGTCCCTGTCACTAAACAGTGATTAAAATTAAATGTACTTACGCATATAATGTGATACATATTTATCTCCAATGGTAACATAACCCATTTCACTGAAGAGGCCAATCCTCTCCATATCACTTTTCCCTTCCGCAGGCATGGCTGGATCTGTGTGATGGTGCACTGCACTAAAAGGGTGGAAGTATCCTTGTTTATTTGTTCTACTGCAAAAGTCTATGAGCAGTCCACATCTGTAAACAAAATGTTTATTAAAGTAAAATGCAAGAATTTTTGGTTAAAAATACTAGCAATAAATGTAATCTGAAGAAAGTAATCTACAATATGTTTGACAGCTTTGGTGCTTATACAACAAATGGACTATGTGGGATTTAGACACCATTAAATCTCCTCTGTTAAATTCAAAACATGACCAAAGAGAGAAAATCAAATGCTTTTGTTTTGTGATAAATCTGGTGCAATTCTTACTGAATTTTCATAGCTGGGTCAAAACTTATGACAGATGTCTTCAGAGTACTAAGATGAGAGGTTTTGGTGGCATTAACAGCTAGTAATAAAACATGCTGAGCAGCTTCCTTCTTCATGTTGTGGCTTATCTCTAGCAATAGCTTTCAGTCACTTTCTAACAATGGTATAGAAGGTCGGTGTATGGACAAATCTGTGGTAAAACGTAAAAGTGGAATTTTGGAAGCCCTCTAACTAATCCAAGACCTGGTCATGGTTAAATGTATTTCCAATTTCTTATTGGTTTTAATGCAAGTGATTTACAGTCAATGTTAGTTTTTCCTCATCATCACCCTCATTGGAGCCTGTCAGAACCAAGGAAAATGCCTAGTCAACAAGTGTAAGGAACTCAAGGGCTTGAACAGAGAGCATGCTTAGCACTAGGATTACCAGGGATCTGATTCCCAGAGTGAAAACTAGTAGAGATGGGAATCAGAATCAGCTAGAGGAAGAACTGCCTTGAGGAGGAAAATAACAATATATGGTAGGTTCACCAGGAATGGAAATCAAGGCAGAATAAAGTGGTTAATACGTTAGTAAAGCTATTTCTTGAAAGTCATGAAACATAAGAATTATCCAAAAAATCAAGGATATGCAAACAAATAGCTGAAGTATCTGTGTCCACACAGCTTGAAAGAGAGCAGGGAAGTTAAGAAGACATTAGAGTGGAATACAGATTAAAGACAATGTAGATCAAGTCCCATGTTGGTATTAACTATGGGGGTGAAGGCAAGATGGAAGATAGCAATGAAAATAGGCAGCAGAAAACTCTGAGAGATTAATATCACATATTAGCTGTATCTGGCATGTGGGTGCTGAGTAGAAAAGCACCAGCAGTGGAAATCTGTATAATAATATAGACTTTATATATTTTATTATAAGAAATAATATGCTGGAACACTGTGTACGATGGAAGGGCTAGCCACATTTTGCTTATGCTCAGCACGCAGGATGGACAGCATGCAGAAGTTTTAAAAAGTTTAAAGCAATTTTTTTTGCAAGGTGCAGAGGTTCACACAGTGTAAAATGACCATCGCTTCATCAGATAAAGTCAGTACTGTTCTTTGGTAGATGTAGATGTTGGGTAAGGAACCAAAGGGCAGGTGACAACAAATGGCACTGAAAGAAGAGATGACAGAAAGCCGACCCTTGGAAACAAACTTAAGGGTTCACTGTTATGAAGCCAGTTGGCATTATTGATGAGGAGGACAGGAGTAATTTATCGAAAGTTAATAGACCTGGAATTTAACTCTACGGTGTAAAGCACGGGTCGTTGCTCAAGGGATTAATGGGAAGGATTTCTGGACCTCAGCAGTTCGATGCGACTGAGGAGATGTAACGAGGCGGAGGAGCCTGGCCTGGCAGTAGCAGTACTGCCAGTCAGCAGGCGGGCAAGCACGGTTCTGCAGCGTCTCCCGAGGAACTGGTAGGGAAGGTGAGGACATACCAGTATTTTGCCACAGAGCGCTGGTACCCCATAAACCGTCTGAAGTGCAGCTGCGGTTGGTTGCCCAAGCTAAAGCAAGCTCGACGCAGTACGCCAGAGCGCGCCGGCCCAGCGCTAAGCGCGACAGCACCGCAGGGTACGGAAAGCCGGTGACATCGAGAGGCAACCGAGCGGCACCGCGGCCACCTACTCGCCGGAGCCGGTACCTCACTCGCCTGGGACGGCCGCCGGCAGGAGCGAGAGGCGGTGCGGCGGGGAGCGCCCGCGGCCGCCACCCCCCCGCTCTGTTGGTGCCGGTTGCCCAGGAGGCGGGAAAGCCCAACCGGCAGAGCGGGCAAGTCTCGCCTATGCCCCCCCCGCCCCCGGCTCCCTGCATTGGTACGGCCCAAGGCGATCGCGGCTGCGCAGCACCGCAGTGCGACGGGGCGACGGGCGGGGGGGGGCGGGCAGCTGGCCCGCTCCGCCCCCCCCCCACGCACCTCTCCAGCTCGCGCGGCGCCTTCCCCGGGGCCGGGAGCGCGCGTGCGCGGGGAGGATGCGGCCGGGCTCGGCCCCCGCTGCGGCGCTGACGGACGTGGTGAGTCCGCCCCTTCCCC